TTTGTTACAGTAAGGTTCACCCTGTACAAGGCCCGAGGTCACTCGATGTAGAAGTTTAAGTTATGGGGTACTTTATATGGATTGGAGGGGAAGATAACAGTTAACTGCAGACTTGAACAGGTTAAGATTGTAGCGATCTGGGGAACATCTTCTTGGGAGTCGGTTTCACAGAGCATTGTTCGCGGGAAGAAGCTGTTCGAATGGAACTTACTTCTCACCAATGGAATACATAGGACATGTGGGTGGTTTGCTACTATGTAAATGGCATGGCATGTCCTTGCTGTGATGGTTTGAAATGGTTGGACCAGGGAATGTAGTTCGTCTGAGAACTTTCCGTGAAAGTAGCAATAGAGCAACGAGAGGGGCTTGTCACATCCCGCCTGAGAGAGAGAGAGAGAGTGGTTGGATAGTGGAGAATAATTCGTCACCTACAAGCTTTTGGTCTCTATCAAAGCCGGAGAGTGGGGTCTGGCCATTTCCCGCCCAAATATGGCAATAATACTCCATTTTTGGGGATGCTCTTGCTCTTGTGAGGCCATTGTATTTGTACTTGTCTTTTTATATATACTAGCTAGAAGAGACAAATATTTTATATATACATGCTGGAAGAGACAAATAAATGCCTTCAGGACATTCCTTCTGATGTTCTTCGACGAGGTAAATGTAAAAAAATTAAATCAGTTTTGTTCAGGGACGATCCCTCTTTTTGTTTACCCATCCCTGTATAGAGCTCTGAAATCAAGTTCCTCTGGGACACTGGTAGCCTGTCTCTTAACACAACAATCAAAAGTGAGATGGGTCAAGTCTCAATGGGACAGGCCTTCGGTGTTTTAACCCGGGAAATGTTTAATGCAGATACCCAGACCTCATCAGACTAATCATGGCTCTCTGGTTGGCTAGTATAAATGGCCGAGGCGTCTCGACGTGAATCTCTGTTGTGTACAGGAGAACCGGTTTGTCTGAGAGTTTTGTCCTCTGTTCAGCCTATTTTGATGGATGCTCGAGTGGTGTTTTCTGGCTAGTGAGCAAATCTTTGATTGCGGCGTGTGCTCTTGTCTTCACAGATCCTTGCGAGCTGGATATTTCCATAAGTCTCCTTGTCTCACTGGGGTTTTTAGCACCCAGTAACCATGTGCAGCAGCCTGATTTGTTTCGGTGGATCGAGCCGTTTCTGACGACATCTCGACGGGTAGTTTTAGCGGTCGATTGGAATGCCGTCCTTGACCCTGATATAGATCATATACGGGAAAGATCGGGTACTAACAATCCCGATGTGAAGCCATTTCGGGACTTTATCGACAAGTTCGATCTTATCGATATGTATCGTAATGAGCATCCCCGCCCCGACGGTAGTGTTTGACTTGCACTAATAGGGGCAGCTCGGCCCCGATGGTGCGTTCTAACTACTTCGACCGAGCTCTAGAAGACAGTCGATGCTGGGCTCTTAGGTTGTCCAAGTTTCCATTCGATAGTTTACTCAGATCATAGGCTCGTCCGGGTTGATGCAAACTTATATAAGCCTAAGGTTAGGATGGCTGCCTACTAGAAATTGAACGCATCATTATTTGGTGAACGAGGTTTCCATGACCAGCTGCTAATTATGCTACAGCGAGAATAAGTGGTGTGATTTAATGAAATCTAAAGTTATGTCCTTTGTTGCTGATTATGATCACTAACTCAATCTAATTAGGTTAGCAGCACAAACAGCATATGAAGCAAAAGCTGATCGGCAATTAAATCCCGTAATAGTGGGGAAGTATCCTTAGGTAGGGTGGAGCTGGCCTCCTTGCCTATCACGAAGGATCAATCTCTTGTGTTTGATCCTTTCTTCGTTAAAGATCAGAGGTTACGAGACGGTAACAGGGACCAAGATCTACCACGATAAGCCCGTTGGCTTGCGGTTGGACGCATGGAAGAAAGTTCTTCCCGGCTCTTTCCTCTGGACGGATGGGCCGGTCAAGATACTCGGCGTCTGGTCCGGTGCTTGAATTGTATTGGTCGGAGGTGCGGGTGAGGATTGAGGGCGCAGTTCGTATGTGGTCCAGGAGGAATCTTTCCGCATATCTACCCAATTCCCCTTTACCGACTCTTCGTGCTTCCACTCCCGTATGTCATACAATTAGTTAGGGTCTTCTAATCCTTCTTGTGGGAAGGCAAGATTCTTAAAGTATGTAGGGAGAGCTATTACCTCCGCCCTTCTGAAGGCGCTCTGGGTATGCCTAGCGTTGAGATTCGCCACCATATGCTTCGTATCGCCTTCCTAGATCAAATCTGTTTGCAAGCGGATGGAGATGACGAATTCTGGGAGGAAGACGCCAATAAGACATTTCGTCCTAAAGAAGTGTGCACTCATGTGAGGTAGAGGCCCGCCGTTTACCCCGAAGCTGGGGCTCCTTCTTTTGAGAATGCCGGTTAGACCTCAAGTTCCTCTTACGGGTGACAGATGGCCTCTCCGACGTTGTCCAGTAAGGCATTATATTAGATATTAGTTAGGGGTCCGTTCAAGATGGCCTGACTGTCGAGCTTTAAAGAAGCAGGGTGGTCGGTCGCTCCATATGGCCTTGGGCGCCTGGGTTGAAATCCCACAGTAATGATGAGGCATCACTTACATGGCTGGTAATGCGAAGGGACCTCTGGGTCATCAAACAAATTTTTTCAGCGGGTTGGGAAATTCTCCCAAATGCGTTTGCTGCGATAACTCAGTGGAGACTCTGGGGTACGCCTTCTTCCATTAAAAGGTCGTAGTCCAGTTGTGCTAGTTTATTGAAGAGATCATGGTTCGCATTCTGTCCGAAAAATTCTTTGACTTTAAGGCCAGTTCTATTTGTAGCAATGTGGTACCGCCGTTAACTAAAGCTGAGCACTATGTGTTCTTGTGCTTACTAGGTGTTATGTGTGTCGGGATATGGACAACGCGACAGAAGGAATTCTATGGAGTCGAGAAGTTTACCTCTTCCCAACTGATCTTGTTCTTTAAGCATCAGCTTAGTTAAGATCAGGACAGAAAGGCGATGGCTTCCTTCATCAGAATTTCGTAACGAGTGCGTGAATCTTACGCCTATTTGTCGAGTGAAAGTAGCCGACGTAAGAGTGTCATTTTGATGACAGGTAGGCATCAAGATATTGTAAACCCTGTATTAAACTTTGGCAAGCCCTCCCAAAATTGATTAGCTTAGGCATGTTTCACTTTTAGTTTTTATGCCAAGTTAACTTAGCTAGGGAATGTATATTCATTGGCCCCTTTTATTTTTGTTTCCTCTTTCTTTAGTTTCATTTCCCATCCCAGCTGCCCCACCCTCGTTAGGTGACCAGAAATGTCAGTTCTCTGGTGGATACGAGACACTTTTTTTCGTTCTTCGAGTGTTTTTTTTTGTATTTGTTGTCGTGTCTAGGTGAATGTGTACTTGTGTGTATGCTTGGTCGAATCACTGGTTTTAATTTATCCAAATCCCGCGTAAATTTCGTCCAGTTAACTGATATTTCTGCCACAATTACGCATTGTGTTTTTTTTATTATTATTACTAACAGAATTTTGTTTCTTGTATTATGCATAGTGTAAATATTCGTTGGGGTTTTCATTTTTAAAAGTTGTTATTTCTATTCCCCACCCCCATAGACAAATTTTACTAATGGCACTAGTTAGGACCTCATAGATTCTTTGAGGTATTATGGTTGTGGCAAGGGTGGTAAGTAAGAATGTGGTGTTTTGTGCAAGGAATATTGTATAGTTTGTTTGGGTCAGTGGTTGTGGCCAGCTAAGTTTTTAAGATAAGATAGATGAAGACCAGCCTTCTCCATCCACACTTTTGGCCTTGTGCCACATTTTTTGTATTTATACGAAAAATAAATAGTATGGCCTGGCGAATGCGTCCAGCATGAAACAGACTGTCGCCTTTGGGTGTTGACTTCAATGTTTATTTTATATTTACATACGCCCTATTCCTGATATTGAGCAGTTTAACCCATAAATATAGCATATCTTAAAACTATATTTTATCATATAGATGGCTATGGTGTCCTCCCTCTAAAGAGTCTATGTTGGACACTTCCGCCTACTATAAGATTAGTAGGAGAGAAGGCCTTGGTAAAACAGTCGAATAGATTGAACGCTGGGTCATCCGACACACACTAACTAGTTATGTAATACTCTTCTGTTATACTTACTGTTTAATATATAATATATCTGTAAAACTTGTTTTGTTATTTCTTTAACCATTTACTTGGTCACAGCATCTTTTTAATTTTTCTTTGGCGTATTTTTTTAATGTGAGCCACGCCACTCTGTTCAATGTTTTTCGAATCCTCTCTGACGCTCACGAAACGTTGGCACCTGAAGAAGAAATTACATTCGCTTCGTACTTTAAACATTACGAGGACTTATACAATACGGATTGTGCAAGTTGGGCTGACCATAAAAAGGTTCGCCTACTCCTCAAGAAATTAGGCACAGCAGAATATACTAAGTTTGTTAAATATATTTTGCCTAAGAAAACTAGCGACTTGAAATTTAAAAAGGCGGTTCAATCATTGACAGAACTCTTCAGTCCAAAAACATCACTGTTCCACAAGCGTTAAAAATGCATGAATCTCGTCCTCGTCACTAAGATATTGTGACCAAGTAAATGGTTAAAGTAATGACAAAACAAGTGTTACAGATATATCATATATTAAACAGCAAGTATAACAGAAGAGTATTACATGACTAGTTAGTGTGTGTCGGATGACCCAGCGTTCAATCTATTCGACTGTTCTACCAAGGCCTTCTCTCCTACTAATCTTATAGTAGGCGTAAGAGTCCAACATAGACTCTTTAGAGGGAGGTCACCACAACATATATATATATATATATATATATAAGTTCGATTGTTAAATGTTATTGACTTTGTCTTTTGCTTACCTACAAGTAGAGAGATGTTATTTGGGGAGCAAGTGAGTGTAAATCTTATCGAATCGTTTGAAATAGAAGGCTTTAACATTTTCTGGCCTTTGTTAAGATCAATGAAAACCGCGCACGTCATTTATTATTTTCAACGATTTTTCCCTGTGTTTGTCATGAAAACGTGACAGTTCTTGTCATTTTGAAGTTCAAGGAAGATTATGGACGCTGATAGTTTATAATTGCTTTTTTTTATCCTTTTAACTCTTCATTTGTATATTTTAACCACTATGGTTTCAAATTCAGCGTTTTCATTAGTCGATGATAGTGACGTCAAAGATGACAGTCTCCGGGTTGGGCAAGTGTATCTGACTCTTGTTAAATACATTTAAGGCCAATTTACACGGCTGATGTTGAGTTTATTTCGTTTAGTTTTACATATATTTCATTGTAAAAGCCATTAAGATCTTTTTGTAGTTTGTTTTATTTAGTGTAAATACTTTTTTATGAGTAGAAGCCGCATGGAAGTTAGGATGCCATCACCTCCTAATCTGTGTTGATTGATGTGTGCTTTGTCTGATAGGTGGCAGGTTAGACAACGGGAGAGTGTGGTGGTAGTATAACAAACATACGAACTGGGAGAGAGAATCCTCAAAAGGATAAAAGAATGCCTAGATAACCATTAAGAATATCATATGCAGACATACATTTCTTATCGATTACAGTGAACATGTAAGACAAGTCATCTACTATAAAAAAAAGATACCATCTTAACTGAATGGCAACACAAAATTACAGAACTTGTTTACACATGAAGGCTTAAAAGTTATCGACATCTAATGATCAAATTTAAATGGGAGACGAGAAGAAATATAGAAAAGTAATTTACACACATTTGGGTAATGAAAGGTTAAATGTTGCAATGGATCTAACGGGAAGTGGGTAACTAAATGAATAGAAAAAAATAAGTAAATAGTAGATATGTTCGAATCTCGTCGGGTTCAGAATCATCTCCAGTCTTTTGGAAAGGAGTAGATGTGTATCCCTTGTGTTCTGTTTAGGATTGGGTTTCCGGTTCCTTCTAAACTTCAACTCTATACTCCTGATGTCTCTGCCTGAACTTTGAAATATTATTCACAAATTATCTTTCTGCTTCCCCAATAGGAATAGATAGGTTCGCTTATTGTCCAGCCCGCAGTCCTCTCCTGTCTTTTGAACAGGAGTAGAGTTTTGTCACTTTTTTCCTGTTTAAGACTGGCTTTACGATTCCTTGTAAATTCTTCTCATTCTTTTTCACTCCCAGTAGCCCTTTGAGTATTAGTGGCATAATAGCCTTACTTGGGGTTAATCGATTAAAAAAAAGAAAAAAGCTATTGTATCTAAGGTGAGAAGTGTTATTGTTTGGTAATAAAATAAAAAAAAAATGCAACATGTTTCGTCCGTTAAAATGACTTCATCAGACTAAATCAATATTTCCATTGCTGAATTTTTTATAATAATATTTACCCTGGACAAAAGCCAATTGATGTAGACACTTACAGAGTAAGAGACACGGTTTATGGGGAGATGTAGGGACGATAACCTTTAACCCTAGTGTTGAGCAGGTTAGAATTACAGTGATTAGGGAAGCATCCTCTTGGGAGCCGGTTTCACAAAGCGGCAGTTCGTAGGAAGATGTTCGAGTGGAACTTACAACCCACAAATCCATTACGAATGGTGTGAAGGTGATTCGCTACAACGGGCGTGGCATGCCGAATCTTAAACATAGAGGTTAGAACCGGCGGGACTAAGGAATGTAGCTTATCAGAATACTTACCATGGAAATAGCAACAGTTTGAGGGAAAGGGGTTTATAGCGTGGAAAATAATCACCCACAAGGACGCGGAGACGTGTTTGAACTCTATCAAGATGGGAAAGTGAAGACTGGGCAACGGCTGCCCATATACGTCAGTGGCACTCCATTTTCAGTCTGATCTGGCTCTTGTCGAGGTAGGTGATAGCAGGTAGAGTCAGGTACTTACTGAAGAAGCACAGGGACTATAATTTGTCCAGCATCATTAGCGCTGGATCCTGTGTATGAGTTCCACTTGAGGTTTTGGTTGAGCAATATGCGCTCAATGTACGCGGCCTCTCTGAGAGGACATCTGCTCATCACGATAGATGAAAATTCACGGTCCGCTTGATGAGGCGAGCAGAAAAATATAAAAGAAAATTACGCATAGAAAGGAAAGGTTGAAAATTTAAAGACTCTGAATTTTAAATTTTAAAATTTTGGGCGTTCGACGTGTCTAAATGTAAAGGCTGAACCGTGTTCATTTAATTTCTCATATAGATTTTGTTTTTATCGTTTTTTTTAAAATATGTCATACTGCGACAGTAGAACATTTGTTAAGAAAACATGAAATATTTTAAGAGCTTGTAAGCAAATATACAAGTATTTTACAGTTAATTATTATATTAGTACTATATTTATTGGTTTGTTTTCTTTTGCTCTTAAAAAAAAAAAAAAAAAAAACATAAAAAAACACCCTGTCTTATTCGCATGTAGGAAGATCAGTACAACCAAGCATACCCAATCTATAACATTGAATAGCCCAAGTGAAGTCTTGATTAGTTGCCGTTTTCTGGGTGAACTTATATAAAGCACGTCCTAAAGCTAGTAGCAAATTTAATTTGGGTGCGGGCCGAATACTGATCATATTCGGTCAGGTTGCCCATCGAAGAAGTCTGTTGTTTATTTAGACCCGAAACTTCTAGTGACATGGGAGCAACAACACTGACGATACATTTACAGTCGACACTTAAAGGCGTAATTTTAATTTACTGATACAATGCTACTAATTAACCCATAGCTGGTGGGAGAAGAGGTAGATTCATACCTTTTCCAACGGGATTTCCGCATATATATATTACAGCAACTGGTATTCCTATGCAGTCACCCATCTAGGCACTGACCAAGCTTGACATTGCTTAACTTTGGTGATTGTATGAGATCCGGTGTTTTAACGAGGTATGACCGTAAACCGTCTTTTAAAGGAACCAACAATATTCAGCCATCATATTTAGCTTGAAGCTGCCATGCTACCTCTGTTTCATGTCAAATATATCTATCTTGCGGAACCTCTAAGCAATCGATATTAGAATGTAAGGCACACATCGTAAGAGACACACAACAAGCCATTCTTTGATAGACTGTTAGTATGTCTTATTAACTCAAAATAGTTTTCGTTTTTATGAGACCTAAGAAACATCTGTAGAATTAGTACGAATAAATCTCATTCACTCAAGGGGATACTAATTTATTTGGCTAAGTCATAATTAATATCCATTTTGGGGAACCAATTGCCATGACTAATACATCATCCCATCTACTAATCATGGGTGGAAATTAAGAATACATTTGGAGGACACCAAGCATAAGTTAGTTATTATGTACGGCAGTGTCAACGTATTCAGTGAATTAAAAGGAAAAATATTCTTCTTCTTCTCTACGACGACGAAGGTCGCAAATAGCAAGAATAACACGGAAAAACAATTGGTATTCAGCTGGTCTGTGATATCCTAACCGCCATATTGACATTCACCCTACAGCAACCGATTATTGACTTTCTCGATCGCTGAAAAACGCTTTGACCGGGAATTTTTTTTTAATTTTTTCACATCAAAACATGCGGAATTTTACTGAAAAGTTATCAAATAGCTCCCTAATGAAGTGGCAACAAGTCATTGCAAATAATGTTGAATATATATATATATATATATATATATATATATATATATATGTGTGTGTGTGTGTGTGTGTGTGTGTGTGTGTGTGTTTATAATTTTAATAAAATATAATTGTACTTTGTTATTAAAGATTAAAGTTGATAGACCAAAATGCAAATGACTCCTAACTCAACTTAATAAAACAAAGATAATTTTGAATATAAAGATGCTGTGCCTATATCTCAGAAATCTGACTTACATTTGTTTTAGTTTTACGGCTTATCAACCCTTCATGGATTATTTCGGGTTCAAGAGTTCGCTTATAGTAGCCGGTGTCCCCAAATGGTCACCCATTTAAATACTGAGCGGGTTCGACAAGCCTTAACTTCGGTGATCGAACGAGAAACATTTTATTTTCAGCGCGATTGGAGATTTCCTGATTTACTTGAACAATTCTGAGTAAATCATCAGGATTCTACTTAGTCCAGCCCCAATCATCGAACTAGTGAATCATTTTTTCTTATATCCACTATAAGACCAATGCCTACTGCTGTCTCATCTGGTCTATTGCTTCTGGTATGTATTTAGAGATTCCTGATAAAATTCAAAGAATCTGCAATATTATTGATCTTCACCTGGAATCTCGTCTTCAGTCAATTTTCCCACTGCCGTAACGTAACTTCCCTGTGCCTTTTCTATAAATAATTTAATAATGATAAGCGCAGTACTAGATTGGCGGCAAGGTCTCATCATTTTACAGTTGAAACTGTTTGATGAAACAATAAGTTCTTTGCTCACAGTTTCTTCTCTCGCACTTCTCGCTTGTGGAACTCTCTTCCGGTTTTTTGTTTCCCAGTCAACTTTGATCTTCAAAAATTTAAATGCAATGTCAATCGTTATCATCTGTCTTCTTAATTCCTGTTTTTTTTATTGTTCTCTCTCCTTAATTGTGATTTCTTTTCCTCATATTCTCTCACAGTAATCCATTGCTTTATAGACTTGCTTGGAGTGTTACGTCGGCGGGAAAGTAACTGAAGTCGAGATGCCAGGTAAGAACCAATAACATTGAAGATTCCTCTTTGGATTTTATAAAGAATCACAAGATATATAACAGAAGCACCAGACCAGATATGGCAGCAATATTCAATGCATGGATGAAGGGTTAATTTATAAATATGTAAGATAGATTCTCAAGAGAAAAATTGTGTCGTACTAAGCAGTGAAGCAACTTTCTTAGCAGCAGACCAACCAATTGCTTCAATGTAATCTTTCCACTTCATGTCAGCAGAAAATGTTAGTCCGAGAAAGCGCAATGAGTCAATCTCCTGGAGATTAGCATCAGCCATGCTGACTAATGACAAAAGGGTTCATTCAGTTAATTAAAAGAGAACAATTTTGTTTTGGAGGCGTTAAAATTACCAAGCCATTCCTTGCCTCAATTAACAATAGATTGTAGGTCAGTTTTAAATCAGCTGCCAATTTGACCTTACCGATCAGACTTACTATTAAGACAGGAGTAAATAGTGTCATCAGCATAGATCTCAGGTTTAGAATTGATGTTATCAGAAAGGTCGTTGATGAAAATTAGGAATAACGTATGTCCAAATATAACATGGCGTTAATCTTTCTACTTCATGCCAGCAGAAAATTTTAATATATATTTATAATATAGTATAAATTATAAAATAATAATCAGTATAAATTATAGTATAAATTATACGAAGTCATATATATATATATATATATATATATATATATATATATATATATATATATATATATATATATATAAACGTATATGAAAGAGAAATCATTAATATATTTAATAAGCGAACATTAAAAGATTTTAGAGAGAAAAAATAGAAAGAACAGGAAAAATAATGATTTGCTAATTTTACACCGGATTGCTGTGATAAAACGGACATCCGGGACTTTCCCGAAAAAAAGAAAATCGCTTCGTCATGTCCGTTAGCGCATTTCCCATTACATATCACTCCAGGTAATTCAACTTAACAAACGGAAGGATTGATAATTTCCTTTGATTATTTTAATAGTTAAAGCAGAAACAAAACAATGCGGCGTTGATATTTAATCGTTAGCCACATATGGAAACGCTTTTAAAGTTTCCGTAAGAATCATTTGCAGATGAGGCGGGCTTTTTTTGATAAGTACTTTTGACACGAGAAGTTGCGGGGGAGGTTGGATGAAGGTTAACAACATGGAGACCAGAATCAACTCAACCAGACTTAAGTTGTTCACTCCCCATTACTATTTTCAGGAAAAGCACGAACTCACTTTTCCCTGTTCTTGGTTCCATTCCCAAATATTCTCATCTTAAACATGCCCTAAAGTTTGTTCGAGAAAAGAATATCTGGATGAACATTTGAGCAAACAACAGATCCATGTTTAAAATGCTGTTAAACACATTATCAACCTCGACACAACTTCAATCTGATCAAAAATCTATTTAAATATCATAAATAAAAATTAGTTCAAGTTTTAGAAATACGATAGCATTTAAACAAGTTACGTAATATTCTTATATAAAATTCAGTTTTGTCTCATATGTACGTGAAGGTGAGTGCTGATAAGTTCGTAGACTAACTGTTAAGGAGTGATGCTAGAACTGTGAAACCTTGCATGTATTAAACTCTGCTTATTAATAACTGCATTGTTTCTTTTCAGGTAAACAGACATCTGACTGTTAAAAGAAGATGTCAAAATTAACGAGTAACGATTTCATTTGAAAATGGAAACAATTTGGTATCATGGTATTATCAAGTACCTGCAGAAAAAGTGTTTATCCCCCAAAGACATTCATACTGATACCGTTGGTACGTTAGGGGATGATGCTCCAGCTTTATCAACAGTGCAAATGTGGGCAGCTGAATTTAGGAGGGGAGAGTATTAACATGACCCAAGGTCTGGACGTCTAGAGACTGCCACCACTGAGGGAAATATTGATCATGTTCATTACATGGTGATTAACTACAAATCAAATAGTCAACGGTATTAGCCTATCCCGTGAGAGAGTTGAGAATATTCTGCAAAATGAACTTGGAATGACGAAGGTTTTTGCTCAGTGGGTTCCGCGTCTTCTGATACTTGATCAAAAACTCAACAGACTGATCACATCACAGGAAATCTGACATTGTTTGCGGCAGATTCAGGTTTCCTTGAACGTTTTCTAACCCAGGATGAGTGTTGGGTTCATTATTTTGAGCCAGAGACAAAGAGACAATTCCTGCAGTAGAAACAGATCTCCACCTGATCAAAAGAAGGTCAATGTTGTCTTAACTCGGCAGGGAAGGTAATGACCCCCGTTTTGGGGAGGCAAAAGGCATTGGGATTATTGCTTATCTTCAAAAGAACCACATTATCAATGGAGAGTATTATGCCAACTTACTGAAGCAGTTACAAAAGGTAATCAAGACCAAATGCCCAGGTAAACTGAGGTAAGGGGTCTTGTTTCATCAGGACAATACTCCAGCATACAAATTCTCGGTTTTAATGGGTCAATGTGGCTTTGGACTGGTTAACTGCCCTCCCCGTTTTTGGCCCATCTGACTATCATTTGTTCCCCAGCACAAAAACATTTGACTATGAACCAGTATTGCCTTTTTAATGTCGTCATAACTGCTGTTGATGACTGTCAGTCAGATGTCAGGTTACCAGGAAAGAAACAATGCAGTTATTAATAAGAAGCGTTAACTTTTCAGTCGACCCACGTAGAAAACAGAATATTTCTGTTTTGAAATATTTTTGGGGTAAGACTGAAAGCAACAAATTTTCACCGTCTACATAAAAAAAAAAAATCTACAAATTATTGAAATCTAATATAACTTTTCTAACTAATTTAATCGATCACTTCATTTATTTATTCAGCGTTTCCTTATATTGGGTTGTTTGAAACATTCATTCTGTTTTTGTTAAGGTAGCATTAGGAGCGTTTACTTCTAAGCAAAAATCATTAAAAATTAAGCTTTTAATTATATTGTAGCAGTCGCCATATCAGTGTTCACTGTTACAGCTGTATCTACAGACAATTCAACCCATGTTATTCATCCATCTCCTGTTGACGTGACTGTCTCACTACATAGTCTTTACCAAACAAATTTCGAACTGTTGCTTTGTGAACCGACTCCCAAGAGGGTGCTTCCCCGATAGGTACAATTTTAACCTGTTCAAGTCTAGGTTTAACAATTATCTTCCCCACATATCTGCCGAACTGCAACCCTCTACCTCGATTGGCTCTCAGGCCTTGTACAAAATCAACATGATTGTAAAGATAGATAGATAGATAGACAGACAGAT